CTAAACGTCTATAGGCCGGGCGGCTAATGGTTAATTAGTAGGTACACTTAGCAATCCCCTTTAGCAGGCCATAGATGGAGTGAAATTCCTTCCAGCAACCATGGGTTGCAGGAAATAAATTTGCTTGCTTGATTCCCCTATAAACACAGACAGTGTTGTTTGACATGGGAATCTCTCCCACAAAGCCATTGTGTTCTACAAGCGGGAACGATTTCTCCAGCCCCCCCCACCGGGAGAACACAATGGCTCAGCGGGAGGGTTTTCCCTGTCCACACTGTCTGTGTTGATGAAATCAAGAGAACACAGTGATTGTTGCTAGAGGCTATAACATGTCAAATCCAGCAGGCTGGTTGCACCCAAATTGATTGATCGATCAACTTGGGTACATTCAGCCTGGCCATACATGGTTTGAATCTTTCCTGCTGAACTGACCAAGATTTGAGCCGTCTATAGCTGGGCCTTATATTTTCAGTTTAGACATCTGCTCCCTCAGTCCTTTCTTTTTGTTATCTCACTTATTTGTACTAGTTGCCTCACCATCCAGGATGCTTGTTAAAGTCTAACTCCAACATAATAAATGTTACACCCGTATTTAGGATGGCACATTGCCAAGCACTCTTCCTCTCCCCAAAACCTCCTCCATGACAGTGTACAGAGGTTTCTCTCTCCTCTCACCCTTGTCACTTTTATAATCAGCATGGTTTAGAGGGGTTCTGCCCACACAGCCAAGGCATTCATTCACAGAGATCTGTGGACAAATAAACTACAAGTGCCATCTGCCACTGTAGCAGACATAATTGTAATTATTAATGAAATCAGCGCACTTGTAGTCTATTGAAACTTCCTCCAGCTTTCCAACCAAAAGTCTGTACAGAGCTATGGGCAGAGGGCTGGAGGAAGAGTTTTCAGAAGCCTGACATTGAACTGCTGATCCACTGAACGCGGGTGCACTGCTTTGCAGGCTCCTGTATAAAAAATAGTAAACGCACATTTTTTTTACTGCATATATATGTGCATTTTTTTTTTGTTGTTCTTAAAGGTGAATTTAGCCTTTAAGCTGTAAGGTAAATAAATGACAGTCTGTCAAAGCTCCCGTCTATCCTGCAGCGTGAAGTAACACTTGATATAAGTAAAGTGTACTGCAAACTGACAGTGTGTGACCTATAGCTGGTTATTTCAGATTATCAGCAGGCAGAATGCACTACACGAGTGTCGGTGTTTGTATATATGAGAGCTAGAAAGAAAAAAAGATTCTGTTTATGAAGTATTCACTGGGGAATTCCCCCATTAAATTCTGTACTGCTATTCTGCCAAGTGAAATTAGCTGTGATCCTGGGTAACATGCACCCAATTTATGATATACAGGCGTACCTCGGTTTATGAATTTAATGCATTCTGCAGGACTTTTCGTTCTGAGAAAAATTCATAAACTGAAACGCGGTTTCCCATACGAAAGCATGGAAAACCAATTAATCCGTTCCGGAGGTCAGAAAAAAGTAAAAAAAAGTCTTCTATCTGTTCAAAACTCTTTATAAAGTGCACTTTAAAGGCATACAAATACTGTGCTAAAAAATGAATTTGTAAATGCATTAAAAACCAATTAATCCGTTCCGGAGGTCAGAAAAAAGTAAAAAAAAAAAAGTCTAATTGGTCAAAACTCTTTATAAAGTGCACTTTAAAGGCATAAACACTGTACAGGGGCATGATAAAAAAAATTTGTAAATGCAGTGAAAACCAATTAATCCATTTGTATTATGAAAAAAATGTGTAAACCGAGCCATTATTTTCAATGGATTTTATTTTGTAAACCGAAAATTACGTTAACCGAGGCGTTCGTAAACTGAGGTACGCCTGTAGTGGTCTGTGAACTGGGTGAATGCAGTAGACATGGAGCAGTTGTTCAATGACATTTGTAAAATACCTGTAAAAAAGGGGTTGATTTACTTGAGGCAAATAGCCTTCGCACTTTGCAAAGTTCAGTTTCACTCTGCAAGAGCAGTTGCTCCAAAGCTTAGAAAATCAACAGAAGCTCTTCTGACTTCTATCATTCAATCACGTGTAAGCAAAAATGCTGTTTTTTTTTAATTTTCCTTGCATGTGATTGGGTATTCTTTGCAAGGTGAAGCTTTACCTCATTTACTAAGCTCTCGAGCAACTGGTTGAACTGGATGGACGTTTGTCTTTTTACAGCCAGACTAACTATATAATTATATATAACTGCACTTCCACAGTGTAACTGCACTTTGCAAGGTGCACAGTCTATTTGCCTTTATTAAATCAACCCCGTAAGGCTTTTTAGCTTGCAGATGGATGTGCCAGAAGGATCTCTCCACAGTGCTGAAAATATGAGTCCACAAAGAACTGTTTGGTTAAATGTCCATTAATTTGGTTTGCTACCAAGAGTGAGTGTTGCTGAAGGAATTTTGGTCCAATCTTCGGTGAATATTAGGTGAATTTCCCATCAAATAAGTGATAAACAGACCACTTAGGACCATAGTGTACTGCTGTAGGTTGTGTTAGACAACATGGGGGATATATGTAGGGTGCATCAGTGGAGGATGCTGTGGGTGGAAAATTGTCAGCCAACGATGGGTGATGAACTGGAACACAGGCACTGGGCAGCACTTCTGGGAGTGAAGCAAACTCTGTATGTGAAGGAAGATGAGACAGGAAGGCCCTTCTAAGTGCAGTATATCCAAAGTCACTTCAACCTCCCTGGCGGTATGATTATGTCAGGAATTTTGTACCAAAAGCGGTACCATTTTTTTGCATGGAAATTTGGTGTTATGTGTTGTAGGCCTGCAATTCTTAGTAATTACTTACTTAATAAATACTCACAAAAAATAATAATATAATAATAATAAATTTAATTCAATAATATAATCAAACCAAAAACACTGAAATTTGAAATATAGCGCCAAGTTCGCACATCACTGAGCAAAGTCACAAAATCGTTTTCAGTGTCTGATGACAAATTTCCCCCATGAATCATTATCACTCAATTCTGCAAGTGGTTCTGATTTACTATCACTGTTCTCTAGCCGGTCTAAAACCGATTTTGACCTAAAGGCACACTTTTTGGACGCCATGGACTTTTCTAAGTTTCCAGGCAGAAAGAACAGTCAAAATGCAGGCAGGGCACAGGACAAAGCAGTAGGGACAAAATATATGTGAAATGCATTGAAACAGCAATGTTTTACTATATAATAATCATTTTTAATAAAATGGCATTTTTTAAAATGTCAAATTTGCCGCTGGTTCCGGCGCCCGTACGTCCCGACGTCACAGGGACCGGAACACGGAAGCCAGATGCCGGCATCGGCCGGAGGAGATGGCCGGGGACGCTGCAGGGGACACATCGCGGGAGCGAAGGACAAGGTAAGCGCTGCAGGGACTCCCTGAGCAACGCCGCATGGTAAGCCCGAGTGTAGCTCGGGGTTACCGCTCTTGGTACTGAAATTTTACCCCGAGCTATACTCGGGAATACCGCCAAGGAGGTTAATAAAAATGGTTATAAACACTTACAAGATGGCAGGCTCTGTAGGATCTGTCATAATGCGGGGCTCTATCCACTGTGCGAGAACCCACTGTGCCGACCAGCAGCTGCAGGGGGAGCTTAGGGGGATATTAAAGATTGGTCTTGAAGGAGCTCTGTGCATGCTCCGAAACGCATCACCGCTCCACGCCCACGTCACTTCTGGTTTGCGTTCCTCTGGACAGCGTGTGTTCCAGCGCTACCAGAAGAGTGGCGGCCATCTTTAACATCCCTCCTAAACTCCCCCTGCAACTGCTGGTCGGCACAGCGGGTTCTCGCATAGTGGATAGAGCGCCGCATTATGATGTATCATACAGAGCCTGTTTTTACTGTCACATTGTAAGTGTGTATAACCGTTCCTATTAAAGTGAATTTGGATATACTGCACTTAGAAGCGCCTTCCTGTCTCATCTTCCTGTATTAGACAACGCAACCTTTTTTCTGGATTTTGGTGAAATGGCAGCCTGTTATTTTCCAGGGACTGCTTTAATGCAGCATATATTGACATGCTGCAAAAATATAAATGGGTTCTTAATGTTTTCTGCTTTAAAGTGTTATTAAAACCAAAAGCAAACATTTATTATATTATTGCAGCTTACCATTTCTTAGATGTGATGGGTGCATCCTTGTTCTTTTTTAGGCTTTATTATTATAAAGGATTTATATAGCGCCAACAGTTTGCTCAGCGCTTTACAATATAACAGGAGACAATACAGCAACAATACAGTTCAATACAAAAGGGCTAGGAGGGCCCTGATCCTTGGAGCTTACAATCTAAGAGGCTTTCTGCCTTCTATTTTCACCTGGTGATCCAGCCAGTAATTCTGTTGTTTTTCAAAAGAACAAGCTCTCCAGCAGAATGTATCAGTTAACCTCCCTGGTGGTATGATTATTTCACATTTTTGGTGCTGAAAGCGGTACCATTATTTTGCATGGAAATATGTATTTTTTTTATTGTAGGCTGTAATTTTTAGCAATAACTCACTGAAATCTGTCCGAACAAGAGTCTAGTAAACATTCCAGATATGATAAAACTTGAAACACGAAATCATAAATTATAATTTATTAAATAATCATAAAAAATAATAAATATAATAATAAATTTAATTCAATAATATAATCAAACCAAAAACACTGAAATTTGAAATATAGCGCCAAGTTCGCACATCACTGAGCAAAGTCGCAGAATCATTTTCAGTGTCTGATGACGAATTTCCCCACGAATCATTATCACTCAATTCTGCAAGTGGTTCTGATTTACTATCGCTGTTCTCTAGCTGGTCTAAAACCGCTTTTGACCTAAAGGGACGCTTTTTGGACGCCATGGACTTTTCTAAGTTTCCAGGCAGAAAGAACAGTAAAAATGCAGGCAGGGCACAGGACAAAGCACTAGGGACAAAATGTATGTGAAATGGTTTGAAACAGCAATGTTTTATTATGTAATATTAGTTTACAAAAAAATTAAATTTTTTAAAATTTTTAAATTTGCCGCCGGTTATGGCCACCATACGTCCCGACGTCACAGGGACCGAAACACGGAAGCTGGATGCCGGCATCGGCCAGAGGAGATGGCCGGGGACACATCGCGGGAGCGAAGGACAAGGTAAGCACTGCAGGGACTCCCTGAGCAACGCCACATGGTAAGCCCGAGTGTAGCTCGGGGTTACCGCTCTTGGTACTGAAATTTAACCCCGAGCTACACTCGGGAATACCACCAGGGAGGTAAAGAGATGAGACAAACCACTTACTACTGACAGGGGTGCTTACAATGGTCAGCTTTTATTTACTTTTGTAAAACCTTTATCCAAAAGAAAAAAAGACTGTTCATGTACCTGCTTATAAAGTTTCAGCTGGAGTTTGGCTTCAATTTGTTAGTGTATCTAAATCTGTGAGTCCATTTAATACTCCCCTCCCCTCAGACTGACAATGCTGTCCAAAGGTGTCCCTGTGCTCCTTCATCCAGAGTGGGGACAATCTAATACAGGAGGTATATTACTGGCCAGATCACCAAGTGGGAAGCCTAATATACATTATTACATTTTTGGTTTTGAGTTTAATACCACTTTAATAATAACTTCACCTTTCTTTTACAAGAACAATATTGGGAAATCCTCAGGGTTTTTTTTTTTTGTTACTCTGCAGTAAAAAACATATTTACCTGTCTAGTCCATGCATACCCATAGGAGCTTCCTGTAGTGTAGCTGCGTACTGCACTTTATGTTCAGCAGAGATACAATGACACTGGGCTGTACTTGGCCCTGTGTGCAGCAGGCTCGGTCCACCTCTTGGCCGCATGCGGGGACTCTCTGGGGTTTATTTACTAAAGCTGGAGAGTCCAAAATCAGACTCCCTTCTGCATAGAAACCAATCAGCTTCTAACCTCAGCTTGTTCAATGAAGCTTTGGCAATGAAACCTGGAAGCTGATTGGTTTCTATGCAGAAGGGAGTCTGATTTTGGACTCTCCAGCTTTAGTAAATAAACCCCTCTGTGTTCCAGCACTGAAAGAATGCCTGTATTACTGTCAGGAGAAGTGATATCAGCCCAACAGTACAAGTAAAGTCATGGTGGGATGAAGAAGAGAGATCAGCGCTGGATTGTGTGATCAGGTAATCACTGACCAGCAATGCACTGATGGGTTAACCCTTTGAGGACCAAGGGACGTATTTGTCCCATGTTTGTAATTGCGTGTATCATCTGATTAAGAACTTAAAACTCTTTTTTTTTTTTTGGTTTGAGTCAAAATATTAGTTCTTATCAACAAACAACAAATGGATCTAGCTTTTTGACAATTATTTCATGAAATGGCTTAGTTACAGCAACTGAAGTGTACGAACTTTAAAAACAAAAAAATTGATTCTTTTGGCGTTCCAAAACCTTACGGTCCTCAAAGGGTTTTTAGCAGCACTGCCTCTGACCAGCAATGCAAGGATGTGGGGGTTTAACAGCACTGCCACTGATCGCTGGTGAAGGGGGGATCAATAGCACTGATACTAACAGGTATGCTGAGGGTTATTATTGTGGCCACTGACACCAATGCTGATTGGTAATATTGTGACCACTGAAACCAATGCTGGGAGGTTATTATTGTGGCCACTGACTTTGGCTAATATTGCATCTACTAACACCAATGCTCCGGGTTATTATTGTGGTCACTGAAAGAAGGCTGGGGGTTATTAGTGCAAACACTGACACCAGTGCTGTGGGTTGTTATTGTGATCACTGACACCGATGCTGGGAGTTACTATACCTGTCACTGACAATCAATAGTGCACTGCTCACAAAATTTAAAAGAACACTTTTTAATCAGAGTACAGCCTCTAGTCAAATAAACTCCTGAGATATTGCCAGTTAAGTAGCAGAGGGGGTTGTTAATCAGTTTCAGCTGCTTTGGTGTTAATGAAATTAACACCAGATGTACTAGATGGGCAACAATGAGATGACCCCCAAAACAGGAATGGTTTTACAGGTGGAGGCCATTGACAATTTTTTTCCCTACTCGTCTTTCTGACTGTTTTTAACTATTTTTGTATTTGGCTAGGGTCAGTGTCACTACTGGTAGCATGAGGCGGTACCTGGACCCTACAGAGGTTGTCCAACCGTGCTGCTATTGTGCAGGAATTCCAAGTTGTCCATTACTTGTATTGGCAAATGGGAAAAGAACACATGTAAGTACAAGCAGACCTGTGCTCCCTGGTTTAAAGACCTGTGCTCCCTGGTTTAAAGGCCTGTGCTCCCTGGTTTATTCTGGCTCTGAGTCCACCTGTACACCTATGTGCAGAGCAGTCCCAGGGGCAGTGCACAAATACATCACATAGAGAAACCGCACGTCTCTCTGGCGATTGCAAGTGTCAGCATTCATTATTTCTTTCCCAGCACTGCACACACCTCGGACGATGGATGTCACAATCTAGATACATTAAGAGAGGAGCATCGATGAGTAATGACACCTCATTAATCCAAAAAGAACTACTCTTTCACTGTAAGATGCTTTCATACCTTGTACCTCAAGGGTTGAAAGAACAGCCTGTGAGTATGGGTTCTTAAAAGAGAACGCATCGAGTTAGAAATGCATAAGCTGCCTTTGCCTTTTACTCCAGGTTTGTCATTCCCATCTGTTTCATTTCTTAACCTCTTCCCATCTTCCCATCTGCCTATAGATGGTGGACAGGAAGCTTTGCCGATTCGGGGTATTGTACCCGGATCGATGGCTCCTGCTCGGCTCACAGAGCGCCCCCGCCAGTTTGGCAGTCAATATATTGCCTGGACACACTACTGCTGTGTTCGGGTGATCACACGGTGCTTTACCATGTGATTGCTTTGTCCAATCACAGCAACCACATAGTAAACCATACAAAGTGAAACTAAAGATCGTTCTGTCTGCTCTAACTGTGAGAGCGGAAAGAAGCGATCCTGCAGCCTGTGAGTGTACAGCAGCCTGTCAGGCTTCTTGTACACTCACAGACTGCAGTGCAAGCCACACCAGTGTCCCTGATCACTGCCCCAGTGTAGGGACAATAAACAATGCCCTGTGACCTGTCCCAGTGCGCACAAAAGTACCACCATACACCATACCAATGTCCTGATCACGGCCATACCAGTGTCCTGATCATGCCATACCCCACGCCAGCACCCTCATACTGTCATTCCACATATCAACACCTTGATCATCGCCATATACCATACCAGCACCCTGATCTTTGCCATATGCCATACCAACACCATGATCACCACCATGCACCATACCAACGCCCTGATCGTCGCCATACCCCATACCAGCATCCTGATCACCCCATATACCATACCAGCATCCTAATCATCACCATGCCCCATACTAGCCTCTTGTTCACCTCCATACCCCATACCAGCATCCTGATCAACGCCATACCCCATACCAGCATCCTGATCATCACCATACCCCATACCAGCGTCCTGATCACTGCCATACCCCATACCAGCATCCTGATCACTGCCATACCCCATATCAGCATCTTGATCATCACCATACCCCATACCAGCGTCCTGATCGCTGCCATACCCCATACCAGCGTCCTGATCACTGCCATACCAACATCCTGATCACCACCATACCCCATAACCATAATCCTGATCATCTCCATACCCCATACCAGCGTCCTGATCACTGCCACACCAGAATCCTGATCACTGCCATGCCTCATGCAAACATCCTGATCACCGCCATACCAGCGTCCTGATCACTGCCATACATCATACCAGTGTCTTGCAGTTTAGGGTCTCAACTGATCAGTTTTCAGACCTATAGCCCATAGTTTGTAGACTCTATTGCTTTCATACAGAATTATATACAGTGCCTTGAAAACGTATTCATACCCTTGAAATTTTCCACATTTTGTCATGTTACAAGCAAAAACGTAAATGTATTTTATTGGAATTTTATGTGATAGACCATCACAAAGTGGCACATAACTGTGAAGTGAAAGGAAAATGATAAACTGTTTGCAAAATGTTTTTACAAATAAATATCTGAAAGGTATGGTGTGCATTTGTATTCAGCCCCCCCTGAGCCAATACTTTGTAGAACCATGTTTAGCTGCAATTATAGCTGCAAGTCTTTTTGGGGATGTCTCTATTAGCTTTCCACATCTACATTAGAGAGTGAAATGTTTGCCCATTCTTCTTTGCAAAATAGCTCAAGCTCTGTGAGATTGGATGGTGAGCGTCTGTGAACAGCAATTTTCAAGTCTTGCCACAGATTCTCAATTGGATTTAGGTCTGGACTTTGACATGAATATGCTTTGATCTAAACCATTCCATTGTAGCTCTGGCTGTATGTTTAGGGTCGTTGTCCTGCTGGAAGGTGAACCTCCACCACAGTCTCAAGTCTTTTGCAGACTCTTACAGGTTTTCTTCTAGGATTGCCCTGTGTTTGGCTCCATCCATCTTCCCATCAACTCTGACCACTTCCCTGTCCCTGCTGAAGAAAAGCATCCCCACAGCATGATGCTGCCACCCCCATATTTCACGGTGGGGATGGTGTGTTCAGGGTGATGTGCAGTGTTAGTTTTCTGCCATACATAGCGTTTAGCTTTTAGGCCAAAAAAGTTACATTTTTGTCTCATCTGACTAGAGCACCTTCTTCCACATGTTTGCTGTGTCCCCACATGGCTTCTTGCTAACTGCAAATGGGACTTCTTATGGCTTTCTTTTGACAATGGCTTTCTTCCTGCCACTCTTCCATAAAGGCCAGATTTGTGGAGTGCATGACTAAGAGTTGTCTTGTGGACAGATTCTCCCACCTGAGCTGTGGATCTCTGCAGCTCCTCCAGTTACCATGGGCCTCTTGGCTGCTTTTTCTGATTAATGCTCTCCTTGCCTGGCCTGTCAGTTTAGGTGGACGGCCATGTCTTGGTAGGTTTGCAGTTCTGCCATACTCCTTTCCATTTTCGGATGATGGATTGAACAGTGCTCCGTGAGATGTTCAAATCTTGGGATATTTTTTATAACCTAACCCTGCTTTAAACTTCTCCTCAACTTTATCCCTGACCTGTCTGGTGTGTTCTTTGGCCTTCATGATGCTGTTTGTTCACTAATTTTCTCTAACAAACCTCTGAGGGCTTCACAGTTTTTCTAATTAGGTGATTTTCTAATTAGACTTCTGAAGGCAATTGTTTCCACTAGATTTTAGTTAGGGGTATCAGAGTAAAGGGAGCTGAATACAAATGCACACCAAACTTGTCAGATATTTATTTG